ATGTAAGTCTTGCCCTCCGTTTGGCAATCTAACATGACGTTATACTAATTGAAATCAGGACCTCTTGACCGACATGAATTCCTACCCCTTCCTTGATAGCAAACTGCAACCCACCACTGATGCCGAGCTGGGAGACATAGTTCGACCAGTGCGGAAAAATCGCATTATCGATATCTCTGCGTCGCCACTCGTTTTAGCCACGGACCTTCGCTTGAAACTGGAACACCTGCTCATGGCAGGCGAGCTGGACAGCGGACTTCCCATTCTACGAAACGGTGTTTTAGCCGGCCTGATCCCAGCACCAGATCTCGAGTATGCACTGGATACTCTGGGCGATGAGGAAGAGAATACGGTATGTCTGATGGCTATGGATACTTCCAGAGCTGTCTATGACAGCGATAACGAGGATGAGGATACGATCCAGGTGGATTTCAATCAATTTATTGACCCTGTAAGCTTGGTTAACGTCATCAATATCTTGGCCCATACTAATGTGTTTATTCATAGGCCCCGATTGCTCTTGATATCCATTCCCCTATCGATTTGGTCTACCAATGTTTCGCTAAGCTCGGTCTTCGTTACCTCTGCGTTACTCAAGACGGGAAATATGCCGGCCTGGTACACAAGAAAGCCTTCGTGAAATTCATGAAGGAGAATAGCGACTAGGCCGTAAGCATTGGTCGACCATTTCACTCTTTTTTCATTTGCATTTTTTCCGGCGTTGCCGAGGCATTCTGATTCAATTGTTTGCATAGCCTTGCATATCCTCTCATTTCATGTCTATTCTGTCGGCTCACTCAACCAACATTGGCACTGTGTATAGGTTTATTGTACATCTTTTTTATTATATTTCGGTTTGATCTGGGTAGACACGCGCGAACTACGAATCATTGAACATATTTGACTAGTCAATTATCTATAGAGAGGACCATATCGTCTAAGTTGATTTTTCAAATCCAACCATCTGAACCTCAACATCCCCGTCCCCCTTCCACTCCCCAATAACCTCCTCCCCAACCCACTCAGAAACCTCACCAGGGCTAACAGCCCGCCACCCATTCTTCTCATGAAGCCCATCCAACGGGAAAAACGTATCACACTCAAACGAAGCAGGTGCATCCACAGCCCCCTTCCGCACAACATTCGTCATAACAACCCTAACACGCCGATTGCCCAACTCCTCAGCGCCCATATTCAACGTAGCATTATAAATCTCCGCGCCACCAATAACAAAAATCTTGCCAAGCGTCCCCTGCGCCCCATACACAGAGTCCAACTGTTCCAACGCCGAACCCAGGCTCGGCGTAACAATCGCATCGGTCATCGGGTCGACCGGCGAAGCCGGAACAGCTTCCTTGGACGGGTTCAAAGCCTCCTTTTCCGCACTTGTAGCCTGTGCCTGAGCAGCCTTCGCCGCAATCTTTCTTTTCATATTCCCCAATTCTGTAGCTACGCTCTCGCGAACAGACCCGGACGTGTCACGCGTGATCACAACATTAATTCGTTTCGCGAGCGGGCGCAGCGAGGCCGGCACGGAGTCGTACGTCTTGCGGCCCATGATGATTGCGTTTGTCGTGCCTGGGCTTGGTGGGCGAGATGTCACGCGAGCGAAGAATGACATGTCTGTCTTTATGCGGGGCCATGGGAGGGTGCCGTTTAGGCCGATGCCTAGGCGCGTGATTTCGTCTTTTGTGGTTGTCGACGCGGTGCGGATTGGGGTTGTTGCCACGATTAGAGTGAGGGAGGGAAGGGGGTGAGGATTGTGAGGTGGCATTTTGGTTTGCGAGGTGATTGCACTTTGCAATTCGAGGTGATTGGGGTGTGATGTTTGGGTTGTGAGGGAGGATGCTGAATGGTGGAGTTGAGATTCGCGTCGCGAGGGGTGCACAATTCCGATAACGATTTCTGCTTATCGCCCCGCACTATCACACAGGTACAGGTGGGCTTGACATGTGTCAATTTTCTTTAAGAGGATATTCGTGCTATGCTTGATCCAATGTCAATAAGGAGGACGTTATGCTATTGCTCTAGTCTAATTGAGTGAGTGAAGCAGCAAAGTAATCGTAAACAATGGGTTTGAATTCAATATCACAGGTAAACTGAATACGCCGTAACACCGGTCGAACGCCAGACTTAAGGAAACAAGTGGGTATCACACGCGAAACAGCTCCAATGACCAACGAACAAGATGTCTCAGTGGATATCCTTGGGAAATCACCGTTACTTCTAGGATTGCTCAGTGTCCTTCAATTTCTGAGAGTCCTCTGACTTCTCAGAGCTCCCAGGCTCATCCGACGATGGCATCAGCAATCCTCCATCAAGCGCCTTCTGGATGGCCTCCACATCCTCCTCGAGCTTCTCACGACGCTTGACATCACGCTCGTCTTCGCCGAGGGTATCGAGCTTGCCGAAGAGCCAAAGCTCTTTCATAAGGCGGTGCAGAGCGAGCAGGTCCTCTGCAGCACGTATCTAAGGCAGCATAATGTCAGTCTCGGCTTTGATGTGGATTTGGAAGCTCAATTGCATCCTTCTTGGGAAGGGTAGAAGTAGCCGTGTTAGACTGGGGCGGCGGATATCAGCATACCAAGGCAGTGGATTCGACATCAATTTGGAAAGATTCTACAGCAGCATCAACGTGACTGGTGCCGTCAAACTTATTGGCAGCAATGGCGACGATGTTCTCGAACCGCTGCAACAGCTGCGAGATATCATAGTCGACGCGATCTACCGCAATACATCGTTAGTCAAATGGAATGGAGGAAACTTGAAGCTGAAGTGGCCCAAATTTAGCACGTACCAAGCAACTCCTTGGCAGTTGGACGCGAATCCATGGTTTGAGCTTTCTTTTTATTGTCTTCAGACGATGATGAGGATAAATCGGAAGGAGGATAATCCGAATCAGGATCCATGTTGATAAGAATAATTGTGGGGCAGGGAAATGCGGGTAGATGCGGAGAGAAGCCGACATTACCCGAAGTGAATATTATATAGCTCCCACATGGCGCTCCAGGGCAGTCACATCGCGACTGGCTCTTCCCTAATCCGCTGGACAAGTTCCAACAAGCCAGCCGTCATCTTTCCACATTTTGCTCTTCTATGCCTCCCATTCCTCGTCTTCCAAGTTGAAGACCTGCTCAAGCTATGTGAATCAGTAGTAGATATGGAAGTGTCTGCATATCTAGAAAAGAGCTTTGAGGCCCAAAAGCCAAGAAAGTCTTTGAAACTTTCTACCCTAGATGACATAGATGGCAAGACATCCACGGCCCTTCTCACGAAACATAGTTAGCCGCAATTCATTCGCAGCTAGCTTATTGAGTTGTTATAGAACTCGGCCACCGGCCACATTATACACAGGGAATAGAATAACCTGTAAGCCCTCGAGCAAGGAAGAGAATGGACCGAACGGCCTCTTTCATACCCGGAATGTTAATTTATCTGCGAGACCTTGAACGTTCATAATACCCCCCTGGAGAAAGTGATCCTATTACCTAGGTACTTCTCAATCTCGACAAATAGGGTCAACTGCTATGACCTTCTCTTTCTGCTAGGCAGTGGCTACCTGCTGACCTAGAGACTTTCCGCCTAGATTTTTCACGGGAATATAGTCAACTTCAAGTAGATTTTCTCAATCAGATTGACGTACCCAACCAAAGATGTTAGGCGAGGGAATGCAAGTGTGTCGCTAGTGGTAAGTCATAGAGACAGCTTCGCTTCGAAGTATTTAAGACAAGTTAATGGCACACGGGATGCATTTTCTAAGCGTTGATGCAGTGCAGCATAGCTTAGAACGATCTGATCGAAGGTACAGCTCGTCTATACGCCGAGCATCTATAGCCGCATTTTTAAGTATACAAAGGCCTACTAATCTATCAGGTAACGTTATATATATAACCTGCAATACTGAATATGGTTGCCAAATGGATACGATACTATTGAGGATTGACTCATAGATGAGCCTAAGGCTCTGCAGGCTGCGTCACACAAAAAAAGGGTGCCATTCAGTCAGGAAATGGGAGATAGCAGGGTATGAATCTTTTCTCGGTGTAACGGCACGGATCTTTGCATTGGTATCCTTATGTATTCAAATCGGATGGAGGCCGTACACTCTGTAGATCCCTATTTCAGCAATACAGGAGGGTACTGGCGTAACATGAACTGAGACAGCATGGTAGTGTGTGAATGGTAACAGAGGTGCAAGTCAGATGACATCGGCGCAGCCAGTCATATACATGCTAGTGTATAGAGGTAGGAATTACAGGTATAGACTGTTATGGAGTAGTGGAGTTGGTGGAAGCAAGGTCTAGCCCTACTGACGTAGGGCCTATGATCGACCTCCACCATTCTCTCCGCCTTGTACTCTCCGCCTTTTACTCTCCGCCCTATCCTACCGTGCGTCACCGCCTAGCACAGTGACAATGGCTTCGGTCCAGACTACGCGGCTCAATCACAATAATAACAATCCTTTTATCCCGGTGCTAGATTTGCTACCTAAAGGCTTTCCCCTTCGTGGCCTTACCATCCATCCAAGGCCTCCATAACAGCAATATTGTGTTACTCTGCTCTCGATTTTGCTTGACTTCGCCTGCACTTCGACAACAAAATCACCCGTAACGCAACTTATGCGTGGCACATCACATACTCTACGTGACTGAAAACTTCGTCGCGTCTTTCTGTGAACTTGGAGTTGTCTGCGAATCACCTAAAATCAAACAAGAAGCCCATACTGAAACGCCCGGGCATTTCCTTCATCTGTGCCAATACCACAGTCTATTTTCCCTAAACTCACTGCTGGATGTTCAGTAAGGTCTCCGGATACTTGACCTTCGAAGACAGGGTGGACGGCCGGTGGGCCGTCTCGCAGATTGAAGGCGGAAGGGGATATTGGAGAAAAGGTGTCGAATTCAAGTGCCCCTGCTCTTAGGGCGGACTATTCCAACTACCCCGCGTCGATTTCTTTACTTTCTTTTTTTCTCCCTTGAATTCAAACAACTAGACTGGAAATGGATGCACAGTATCCCTTTGCTTCCCGTGACGATATTTGGCGTGTCTTTGACGAGTTGAAGGAGCTCCACATTGCCCAGTACGAGCAAGGAGAACGACTCGCGCAACTGGAGCGTCGCCGAGACGACGATGCGCGGCTGAGAAGTCCTTGGTGTCCTGTCTCGCCATTTCCGCATTCAGTTGGGGCAATCGCTCCAGGTAGTCCACCTCTGCAGTCCAGCATCAGTTCGCCACTTACCAAGACATCCCTTCCAGACCCCACTTTCCAATCCCCCCCGGATGCTTTCAAAGGATTCGATCAAGGCCACCATTCTGCAATGACTAGTTCTGCGGTGGGGTTTGACGGCGAGGACGAGCCTAGACGGGGTACGTCGCGCGCCAACAGCGTCCGTTTTGATGAAAGTGCTATCCACGGAAACGCCCAGGCTAGCCGTTCCACCAACGACCTTCCTCTGCGGACTGGCAGCAGTTTGAGTACCCACCCGCTTCTTGAGCGCACCTTTTCTCACCAATCCGATGGACGATTGAGCTCATCTGGTCACTCGCTCCATTCCGCTCGGACTAATAGCCTCCGCCTGAACACCACTCGGCTGCTTGGTACTACACCTATCGAATCCCCTTTGGTTCCCCCTCCTGGACTCTTCTTGCTGGGACCGGTCCCGTCCATCATTCGGTGCTGGCTGACTGATGATTTCACTAATGGATCTCTCCTCTACGCAGCCATTTGCTCCGGCTCTTACATCTCAACTCTGGGTCTCTCTATGGTTCGCAATCTTGGGATGGAGAACATGATCGTCCGCGATTGTGATGTACAGTACATCAAGCTCCCGCTCTATCTTCCTGAAGCACTGATTCATCCATCTTCGTCGCGTCCCGAAACCCCTACTCACCAAGTTCCTGCTGTGACCATCCGCTTTGTGGTTCGCGAGACAGAAGTCAGCGATAATTCGATTCAAATAATCGTCGGAAGTGATGTGATGCGTGCACACAATGCTGATATTTTATTCTCGCAAGATAAACTGATCATGGTGGACGACGACCACAACCGTGTATCTGTCCCCCTTGTGCGTCCCGAGAAGGACTCCGTCTTTAAATCTCTTTGCACTTCTCCTGGTACTCCCAATTCTGGAGACATACTAGGGCCTCTTACTCACGGGAATCCATCCGTTGGTATCATTGGCCAGCCTGCCAGTGTTCAGCAACAGCCGGCCTCTGCGCCCCCATCGACTCGTCTGCCTGGCAGCGAGGACAGCGATCATCACAAGTCCAATCTACAGAACCTCCAGGCTCATGCTCACATTTCAGCTGAATCCCGTCCATCCATTGTCAACCCAGCAACTTCTGAGCCTACTAAAACCGAAGATATGCCTTGGGGCGGCCCATGGCGCCGCGATGCTAAGAAATCCACCAGCACTACCAAAAAACCGGCCGATAAACGCGAGATGAAAGTCTTCCGCACCGGAAAATCTGCGAGTCATGCGAACCCCACAACTTCGGCCTCAGCTCCTGACAGTGCTACCACTGAACAGGCGGACAAGTCGTCTCTTCCGCTTACATCTGCTCAGCATGGTACGCTGAATCCTGTGGGTGGTGCATCGGCGTTTGGGTGGCTTAACCCTCCCCACCACAACACCTCGACCTAGATGAAACAAACTAGGGCTTGGCTTTTATGTTTGATTACATCCGGATCTGAAATGATCTCGGTTTTTACGGCATGGTACGGAAGGGTTGTGATTCCTCAGGAATCAGAAAAAAGTGAGAATGGGATGAGGCGCTGGGTTCCAAAGCTGCCGACAGAGAAGACCACTTTTTCTTCTTTAGCTTGTAGTATTGTCGGAATTTGATGGCAACGGACAGGACCTACTAAGTAAAACTAAAAAAATAAAAAAACAATGTTATGATTAACAATAAATTTCCATGGCCAATGCCAATATCAACTATCAACTAGGATTCCATTTTACCATCCGGGTCCACATTAGTAATCAATCGAGCGAGCCGGAGCCCTTCCTGGAGCCCTGGAGCCTCCCTCGAGGGCTGGAGCCTGGAGTGCAAATGTTGTTGTAAAAAAAAAAGTTATGTTAACGTCTTCTAGCAAAATTACCGTCGTCGTCTTCTTCCTCTGCCTTCGTTTCAATTTCACTATCAAATTTGTTGGAATTAATCCAGATCCAGAAAGAGCAAAGAATCATGGCACGTCTGTTGGATCTTCCAGCTGAAGTGATTCTCGCCATCGTTGACTACCTACAAACGGGTACGAAGCAGGTACCACTGCTATTCCATGAACTTGGGGATGCCTACCGCTACGCGATCGAGCAGGGTCCTTCACCAATCGTCAAAGACCTTCATTCTTTCCTGCTTGCCACCTATCGCTTAAATGGTCTTCTTCTACGGCCGCTGTTCTATCGTAATATATTTGTCCGCAGATATTATCGTTACGGCGAGCCGGTTCCGCTGCAGCAGCTAAACAGCAGTCTTGAGAATGACCCAAGTCTCGAGGAACATATCATCTCGGCGACCATTCCGTGTGATTACTCGATTCATGATATTCATCAATTCTTTTGGCTCTCCAACATACAAGCCCTTGCCATTCACAAATTCAGCGATTGGGAGCCATTGGAATTTGAAAACAACTCACATATTGGCACTTCGCCCGTCGAATCTCTAAAGCTGATTGATTGCGGGGCGCACGAAGAGGCTCTAGCCGCTGTATTAAGCTGGCCGGCAGCTTTGAAGACGCTTCACTACGACGCCGACCAAGGCGAGTGGGAGGGCCATCTCGGGGACGAGCTAGCTAAGAGTTGGACATGTGCTGCTTTTGTGCGCGCGTTGCAATCGCAAAAGACAACTTTGACAGAACTGACAATGACACGCCCATCGCTTGTACATGAAGGGCTGGGGGATGGACCTCGCATTGATCTGAGCGAGTTCACTTCCCTTAAAACCCTACGAATTTACCATGTCTTCCTCTGCGGATGGGATGATCCGCGTGGGGTCTGGAAAGGCTTACCTCGCAGTCTGGAGGTGTTGGAGATATTTTACGACGATACAGACCTCACTAAGTTCATATGGGAGAGTGATGATTCGCCATACGATACTTCTGTTCTTGATTTGATCCAGCACAAGAGGGCGCATCTTCCATATCTGCACACGGTGAACATCCACTCATATGAAGCAATCTTCGATCCCGAAACAGATGAGTTTTTGCCAGTGGGACTCTGGACCCTCCCTTCTTCGCTCGCGCGTGAAGCTCAATCCGCGGATGTAAAGCTGAATGTGTGGCTGGGAGACCGGGATCCTCCGGATTTTAAGAAAGCCGATGTTTTCGAGTTACTGAAAATCAGTTAGACCAAACAGTCTATATATGTATTAAACAAAGTGGTGGATATATGTAGCCATATATCACAATGCATTTTCTGCTAGGACTTCTAGTATGTAAAATAAAGTGAGTCCCATCAAATTAAATCTTCGAAAAAACCCCCAAAGCCCCCTTCGTACTCTCCTTCGTCTCCTTGACAAGACCACTAACAGCCCGGAACGCGTCATGCGAAGCATCACCAAGAATCTCAAAAAGCACACTCTCACTACTTGTAACAACAGCTCCAGCATCCCTCAATCTAGCAAGCGCAATCCCCCTCTCCTCGGGGTTGATACTACTAACGCCATCAACGAGGATGTAAACGCGGTGACCGCGCTCGAGGAGATCGAGCGTGGTCTGTGTCACGCAGATGTGCGTCTCGAGTCCGACGATTATCACGTCGAGGGGCGTCGAGCCTGAAGCTGGGAGCAGCTTCTCAATTTCCGGGGTTATCATTGAGAAGAGGGTTTTGTCTACGTCGGCTCGAATGTGTGCGCCGTTGAGGTGTTGTTGGAGTTCTGGTACGGTGTTGCCGAGTTTGGCGCGGTTTTGGGTTGTCACGAACACGGGGATTTGGAGGCTTGAGGCTGCGCGGAGCATTTTTTCTGTTGTTGAGATGCTGTTTGGTTGGTTGGCTTTTTGGTTTCTATTGGTTTGGGGATATGGGATTCGTACAGTTTGGGGAACTCGTAGATTCCAGTGCGGAATTTGTCTTGGATGTCGCAGATGCTGTCGTAGAGATGGGTTGTCAGTTCTGGTCTTTAGGGTATCTTTGCTCCTTCGATACTGAGTGTTCTGCATACAAGAGTGCGGGGCTACCTGGTTTGATGTTAGTGGCTTGTATTGTGAGATTCGGGGGTGTTCTTACGGATTCGAGATGCGCGCGTGGGAGTAGCCATGATTTCGACAGTTATGTAGTTTGTATGTGAGGATTTGAGGATTCTGGTAGGATGTAGATATAGAAGAAGTTGAAGAAAGGAAAAATTGGCGGGGGAACGCGGGGAATCAGAGAAGTCGGAGATGCGGGGAAGCAGCCGAGGGAAACTGGTCCGGTATACTTCATCTGCTTATGTCTTGATCTTTTATTATAGCCTTCTCAATTTTCAAAATTTTTGCACTGATATATACACGTCGGTCATCTACTAATCCAGGTATCTATAGCTTCACCTCATGCACCTTGGCCCGGCCGGCAAACCAGCTGTCATCACCTTTTGCAGCCGCTGTGCGGATGGCGTAAAGCTCGTCGACAAACGCTGGGACGAAGCTGCCTGGGCCGCGAACATATTCTTTGCCCGCTGCGTTCTCCGCTGCGATCTCGTACATGAGAATTCCAGATAGAACCGCGAGGAGTCTGTCGGAGCGGTGAGCAGCCAAGAAACAGCCTGAGATTGTGCCGATGGCACAGCCGGTCTGTAAATTTATGTTAGCTATATACTATTATAAATCGGGGGTTGGAGAGGCTGCATACTCCAGTCACTTGGCCTAGGTATGGGTGGCCGTTCTCAACGGCAATGACGCGCTCACCATCGCTGAGGTAGTCTGTTGCTCCAGTCAATAGCACGACGTTTCCTATATATAATTAGAACAAGGGAACCACGGCTAGAGACTCTAGGGTTACTTACGCTCTCTACGAGCTAGGTCCCGAGCCAAGGTGGCCTTTTGATTGCCGTCAAGGGTACTCGGTCCACTGTCGACACCGCGCTGCTGAACAGCACTATTACCCCAAGCTTGACGAATCTCGCCCTCGTTACCCTTAATCAGATCAAAGTAACCCCCGGCCATGAGCTCAGTCACTGCGTTGCGGCGAATGTGTGTCGCGGCCGCACCGACTGGGTCGTAGACCACTGGGTTGCCCCGCTCATTGTATGCCTTGATCGCTTTTAGGTAGTTTGGGACACTCTCGCTAGTCAATGTACCCATGTTGATCAGAAGGGCGCCATCAAACTTGCACAAGTCCGTGGCTTCATCGCCATACGGAGACATGATGGGAGATGCGCCACTGTAAAATAGTTAGTATGCAAAATGGCTCGGCTAGGTACAAGATACTGACATAGAAAGGGCAACGTTGGCCACAAAGTTCGACACGACGAAATTGATCATGTTGTGTACGAGGGGGTGCACCTCTACCATCTTACGGATGATTTGGGGGACCTCATTCAACAAGACCTCGGCCTCGTTAGCACGAGGAGGACTGGAAGCCTGCGCAAACCGAGGAGGGGTTCGGATGAGCTCGACGAATTGCTCGGCAGATGCTTTGGGGTCATCGGCTGCCACGATGGCGCTGACAATGGCTACGCCATCCAGTGCTTTCTTTGGTGACTGAGACTGATAGAGCACTCGTTGCACGTTGGAGTGGTTGATGCCGCCGATGGAAACAGTGCCGATGGCGGAATCCTTGATGGCATCTAGGATAACTTGAGTACCTGCCGTCCCGATGACTGACTTGGTATTGGTTTTTCTATGAATCGTCAGCGCCAGTTGCTGGATGGCGGGATACTACACATGTGGGCTTACGTGGGGGTGGCAAACATGGTACCAATTCCGATATAGTCGGCGCCATCTGCGGCAGCCTTTTTAGCCTCCTCGACCGAGGATGTACTGATACCAATAATGGCATTCTCGGGAAGAAGCTTCTTTGCTTCCGTGAAGTCTATATCCGACATTAGTACCTGCATGTATATTTGTAGAATCGTAGGAACGAACTCATATCATCTTGACCTAGATGCACTCCCTCAGCACCAATAGCAAGAGCCACATCGACCCGGTCATTGATCAGAAGAGGCACATTGTATTTCTTAGTTACCTGGTGTAGTTTCCGGGCAGTTTCCACCAGGAGACCAGTGTCGTTGATTTTGTCCCGGTATTGCACCACCGTCACGCCTGCAGTGGGGGTTAGTTTGATAATTGACAGGAAGACTAGAGTGCCACTCACCTCCCTGCAAAGCACTTTCTACTACTGTACATAAATCTCGCCCCTTGAGAATGGCCGGGGTCGAATCCGTGACCAGATAGAGCGACAGATCTACGGGCATGGTGTCTGGGCACTGGGCCGGATAAATGTGGGGAGTATCGGAGTAATGGATCCGGGGTCGTTTTGAGAAAGAGAAAGAGATCGAAATGAATAGCGTATTGACCGGGTCAGCAGGCTATACTCGTACAACACAAAACACCGGACTTAAGTGACTGAAGGAGATTGCCGTTTACGGTTGTGTGGCCGTGGTGGGGTTCCTGGAAAGTTCGGCCTGTACTCGTCCGGATGTATAAAAAATCCTGGAAAATCTTGAAAAATCCACTTATCTCACATATATATGCTTCAATATTGTCAAGGGTTTATTTTGAAACACAATTAGACTTAAACTTTAGAAAAGCCTCTGCAAAAATAACAGGAATATCTAGGATCTCCCATGATGTTATATTCAACTGGTCTTATACTCCGAGTTAACTCCGGCACGTGCGGGCTGACATAACCGTGATTTGTCAAATTCTGCTTTTCCTTTTCTTCTTCTTCCTTTCCCCCAACAACACACAAACACTTTCAGGCATCGGTTATTTTCGAAGCCTTTATCTACCTAACGCGTGGAATTTCAGTTCTACGCTATTCGATTTTCATCACTGGTTAGTTCGGCTTCGCCACCATCAATTTTCACCGTCCGCCAAAAGGTTCCCGACCTCTGACTCGGATTCCCCAAAGAACTTCGATCGTTCCCAGAAAGCAACACGTTGAGAAGTTTCCCGCGAACTTGTCTATGTATTCGTCCTCCGTCCAAAATTTCGAACATCACCTGCCGCTCAAGCTGCAAACGTTTCGCGCGCCGAAACCTTGCAGCATACACCTTCGATCCTGTGGCTGAATAACCCGGATCTTTTCTCGATTTCTCGTGACTTTTTCCTAAGAAATCACTTCCTATACCCTAAAAAAAGAAACTTGACACGCATGTCTTGTCTCGTCAACAAAATTTTCATTCAGAATCCTTCCAGCTTCCCCTTAAGCAAGCCCACTGTTCCATTTTCGTGAACCAATCGCTCAATTCAACCGTCACCATGGCCACCGTCAACATCCGCCGGGATATCACCGATCCCTTCTATCGCTACAAGATGGAGAAGCTCCAGGCTAAGGTCGAGGGCAAGGGCAACGGTATTAAGACCGTTGTCGTCAACCTGAACTCAGTTGCCCAGTCCCTCAGTCGGCCTCCTGCCTATCTCATCAAGTACTTCGGATTTGAACTTGGTGCCCAGGCCAACGCTAAGCCCTCCGACGACCGTTGGATCATCAACGGCTCTCACGACGCCCCTAAGCTTCAGGATTACCTCGATGGCTTCATCTCCAAGTTTGTGCTGTGCAAGAAATGCAAGAACCCCGAGACCGATGTCATTATCAAGGACGAGAAGATTACCCTGGACTGCAAGGCTTGTGGTCAGCGCTCCGATGTCGACCCTCGCCTCAAGCTGAGCACCTTCATTGTTCGCAACAACCCCAAGGGTGGCAAGAAGGAGAAGAAGAAGTCCCGCCGCGAGCGAGAGAAGGAGAAGGCTGCCAATGGCGAGGATGCCAGCCCCGGCGACAGCAACAATTCCGAGAATGGCGAGGATGGAGATTATGCTCTCGAGGCTAACAGCGATGATGAAGTGACCCGCCAGGCCCAGGCCATCGAGGCCGAAGCCGAGATCAAGGATGATGAGTGGGCTGTTGACGTTTCCGAGGAGGCCGTGAAGGCTCGTGCCAAGGATCTCCCCTCGGACCTCAAGCGTGCCCTTGTCATTGAGGATGGTGACGATGAGGGAGCTGATGGACCCTCGTCCTACGAGCAGCTGGGAAGCTGGATCGTTGACACCGCTGCTGAGAAGGGCGGTGTCACCAAGGTGACTGATGTTGAGATCTACATGAAGGCCAAGGAGTTCGGCATTGAGACTAAGCACAAGACTTGCGCCGTTCTGGCACAGAGCATCTTCGACGAGAAGGTTGCCAAGCAGATTGAAGGCCGCGCTGGTTTGCTCAAGAAGCTGATCACCTCCGATCGTCATGAAAAGGCTTTCCTCGGTGGTACCGAGCGCTTCGTTGGCCAGGATCACCCGGAACTGGTCGCCCAGATCCCTGCCATCCTGCTGGGCTACTACCAGAACGACCTTGTGTCTGAGGAAACTCTCAAGGCGTGGGGTGCCAAGACCAGCAAGAAATATGTCGACATTTCGACTAGCAAGAAGATCCACAAGGCTGCTAAGCCCTTCATTGAGTGGCTCGAGAATGCCGAGAGCGACGAGGAGAGTGAAGAAGACAGCGAGTAGACGGTAAACGTCGCCTCCGCTATTACGTATCCTCCGTTATTTGCTATCTGCGTCCATTCTTAGATTGAACACACATTTTTGGACCTCTGTCTGACCTGCCCATTTCACTGGGACTGATCACTTTTGGTTTAGCTCACTATCGCCACTCCTTTACAATGAATATCAATATGGTATCAATTATCCAACTTTCATTCGCATTAGTAGCATTTAGGTACATGTACAAGTGAAGTAGAGTAAAATAGAATATAGTCATATCTGATGCTATGCAATGCTATCAACAATGAAATGCAAGAGCAAGAACTAGAACGACACCTCAGCAAGTCTAACCTGTTCTCCTTCGCTACCGACAGGGAGATTAGTAGTGCCACCATAGTTCCCAGCACCAGCATTGCCTGTAGTGATCACATCTGCTCTCAAGCGATGCTGCATAAAGACAAACCACGTCAAATCCACATTCCAAGCCTCCATCGCCCGAATCGCATCCTGAACAGAAGCCATGCCTTCACCAAACGTAGCATCATTCACAGACGTAGAAGACCTCGAAGAACTGAAATAATACTTATGCCCGACAAACAGCGCAATCCAGTCTCCAAGAATCTCGCAAATCCTATCTCCCACTTCCAACGGTAACCGGACATGCGAGAGAACCGTGATAAAGAGGGAGACCAAAGCACGCCACAGACGGTGGTGCGGCGTGAAGAATCTCGACCCCGGCGTTGACGGCGAGAGCGAAAGGGAGGAAGAGAGAGCTAAGTGTAGAGTAGACGCCTGATCTCCCGATTTTGCGGAAGTCACAGTCACAGTGGTAGCCTGGGACCTGGCACGGCGCTCATTCGCGGCCTCGGCGTCAGCGCGCACTTTCTCCCACACGCGACGGTACAGCCGATCCCAGCGGGAGAATTCGGTTTCGACGCGCGTGGCCATGAAATCGCCTGCGCCTTTGAACATTACTTCCATGGCCTCGCAGGCGGTTACAGTAACGAAGGTTTCTTCTTGGTGGTCTGGGGTTTCGGGGTTGCGGGTTGGTTCTGTGGATGGGGTTGAAATGAGGGATTTGGATTTTTCGTTTTCTTGTGATGAGGGGAAGATTATCCGGCTTGCTACTGTGGGCCAGAGCTCGTTGATTAGAGGAAGGAAGCTGGTTTCGTTTTGGGATAGGGCGGGTAGGACATCGATGAGGATTGAGAGGAGGGAGCGTCGAAGGTAGGGGGATGGTGAGGTTAAGTGGGATGGGATAGATTTGACGATGTGGAGGAGGAGGGCATGGGTTTTGCTCAGCGGCTTCTCGGCGTCTTCTGGTTCTTTTGGGGGTGGGAGTGGCGGCTCGTCCGATTCGGCTTGGTTCAGAAGCTCTTCGATGGACGGCTCTGGAAGAGGTTTGTCATATGTTTCTGACCATGGCTTTTTGGGATGGGGGATTTTGCCATCAACATCTGCTAGTTCATCCTCGGCATGCCGTTTGGCTTTGCGGTTGGCAATATTCGCGGCGATGCTTGAGATTGAGATATTTTGGTATTGGGACTTGCGAGTATCACGGGAGCCACTCTCTTTGCCCTCATCGATTGTGAGCAAAGACGGTTTCTTTGCGCCTTCCTCGACGACCGCAGCTAGCGTCTTGAACATCATCTCAACGAGTTTGGGATAGCCGTGGTATAGATCCAGGATACCAAATATCGAATCAACCAGGTCATCCAGATAAGGTATCAACCGGGAACCACAAAGCTTGACCATCATAAACAGGACCTGTGGCGGATAGGGTGATACGTCGAAGGTATTAAGTTTCAACGCGACCGAGTTCACCAAATAGTCCACGTTTTCAATGATCATAGAACTCGTGTCTGGGTAGTTGCAGGCATTGGTCAAGATATTCAGACATGTCATGGCGTGGCGTTGAAGGTTAGGGTTCTGTGATGCCAATAGCTGTAAGATTGGGTAGAGCGCGTCCATAAGTTCAGGTCGGAAGGCCTCGCCGAGTTGTTGAGCCTGGAGGGCCACAGACTCCAGAGCGAGGGCTGATGTACGCCAGTCGCCTGTTCCATCAACTGACAATTCGTTAAGTATATTTAATGAGATATAATACAACTCTTCAATCATTCCGCCACGACCAGTTGACGAGACAGATCCGTCAACATGATCAAGAGAGACGAAATCGTCAAAGTCGGCTGTTGCCGTAGTGCTGTCGCGCAAGAAAGTCATGGCCAACCAGAAAGGTGCAATGGCGGAATCACTTGATGTCGCGTGCATACGGTTGACAATGGATCGAGTGATATCATTTCCAGACTCAGACAAGTTCAATCTAGTAATCATTGATCGTAGATCTTTGAGAGTTTGTTGCTGACTTTGGTGTTCCAAAATAATGGGTGCAAACACATTGGATTCAGCATCGGCGCTGAGCACCTCCCAGTTGAATCTGGCATCCATTGAGGCTAACGGCTGGAGAGCATTGGTGTTTTGTTTGACAACGGCACCGACGCTATCACATAGGCCAGATGCCAAACCGCTGGTAAGCAAATCTGACCCAGATTGAACTTGTGACAGAACCTGGAAGACGGTAGAAATCTGACGAAGCCCCCATTGCTTAGCAGTTTCATCGTTGCCTTGCATGATTCGAGGGAAAGAAGTGAGCCAGGTATGCAGCGATTCTTTCAAAGAATCCAACACTGTGGGGTATGTAGTGGCAAGATGAGTTACATTCCGGTAAGCTTCATTCACTCCCTCATCCTCTTTATCTGCCAGAACAACAACTGTTTCAACCATCATAGGGAGAGACTCTGCAAGTGTGGTCTGGCACTCTTCGATTACCATCAGGGAGAGCTCTAGGACGGCAGACTGTACCTCTGGTCGTTGATGACGGCGAACCTGGATAACATTGGCCAGCGCAAGCTTGATCTGCGTTGTGGTAGCCGTCAACCAGGATTCATCCAGAGCTATTTTATCGCTTCCCAGTTCAGGCGGGGAGACTTCCGAGGCTACACGGTCATTGAGAACAGCTCTTAGAAGCTGCGTGAGAATCTGCAAGGAAGTCTGGAGGAGCTTGTAGGACCTTCGAGTCTGCGTTGACGGCCTTAGAACCTTAGCCAATGCCGACACAGTTCGCGGCATGATGCTGGCAAGTACCACGCGATCTGTAACTCGAGCATAAAGTGCTTGCAAAGCCTTGGCGGCTGCCAGGCAGAGCTCATCTGATCTATCATCGACAATTCCCTCTAGCAGGATGTATACTGTTTGATCGACAACCGTGGCGGTGCCGATCTCGTGATAGATTGTCCGTTCTGGAACTGCTCCTTCCAAGACCATGAATATAGCACTGAGACAGTCAAACCCAGCAATGCACAGTTCTTCCGAAACCTTAGGCTTCGGTAGTTGCTTCTCTTCCGCCTTGTTTGGAGAACCCCCCACGATCAATGTCAACAAGATTATGAGTTGCTTGCCCATTGCAGGAGATAGTCGTTGCCGCCATCCATTGGCAACCAGTATCCGCAAACAGCAGACGGCGGATTCCAAACATCTGGCGGGTAATCTTTGCGTTTCATTGAAAATATGCGACAATGGAAAGAATGCATATTCTGCTAGCTTCTCGTCGAGGGTATTGTTCCCCGCAAGTTCCTTCAAACAGTTGTGCACTGGCTCGAGGACTCGGGATACATCGGCAGCGGAAGCTTGATTTCCTCGGAAACGGAGGCCCACAGCGCTGAGTTCAACGCACGGCGCTCGGAGCTATTCAGAGATCAGCACTGTTCCTCCTAAAAGTTGAATGAATCATATCATACCTGCTTGAAAGATTCCTGCCGGAGGTTGTCCATTGCACCCAAACAACACCGGGCAGCGTTAGAGCCAAAAGATAGTAAGCTGTGTATTGAGTAGTATGAATCAGTCAAACATCAAGAGCCACATTGTAAACACCATCTAGCAGGCCCATCGCGATCGAATACAGCGGGACTGCATCCCAGAACTGCACCGCTCTGTCATAATCTGCCGGCACAATCAAGCGGTGAGTCTAATCTATCCCAAACGGGCAAGATAACACTGCACGTGATATATTAGCGCGTCTCAACGCGTGGGAAACCCGACAGCTGCCTGCGACACAGAGTGACACCCAGTGTTGCCTTGACTATTTCAATTGCGGCTCTAGCCTGCTCGGAATATATATTGGGCCATATTCCGCGTCCATTTAACTCCGATAGAAACATCTATGCGGGTTTTGCGACTTCCAGGGCTTGCGCTTTTATCGCTCTCGCGCTCGAGACCTAGCTTCTGCATACGATCTGCACAACACAACTTTTTCACCACACCAATCTCGAAGCTATCTACGGGCTTGTTATCTGCCAGTATTGCAGCTCAGCACAATTATAATTTGAAAACATTTTCACCATCGCGAAGCATGGCCGATGACAAGAGCAGAAAACAGGCTACCCTGGGGTATGTACGGGATAGACAGCAGACGATTGGGTGCGTCGACAGTATTCGATGGCGCATGCGCCCTTTCATGCTGACCCTCACAGCTCTTGTTTTGGTTCACTCCGCTAATTTATCCTATTCGTTTTGCAGGAGGTTTTTCGGCTCCGGTGCCAACCAACCGCCGAAGAAGCAAACCACCTTAGCTTTTGGTGGAACGAGGCAAGCAGCAAGCAGTGATGCCGCCGATGCAGATACCAAAGATAACACCAACGGAGTTAAAGTGGAAGACGCCACCGACCCAACACCAACTGCGGCCATCAATGAAACAGAGCCAGCGAAGGGTGTGAAGCGGGAAAATAGCGCCGAGGCTGAAGAAAGCGATGGTTCCGATATCCAACCTGTTTCTAAGAGGCGACGAAAGGCCTCGGCAAAGACCTCTCCAGCTGCCAAGAAGAAATCCGCATCCCCGAAGAAGCCCGAGCCTACAAAGCCAAAGATCGAATCGCCATCACCAAAACCAGCCACTACAAAGCCATCCGATGTTACTCCCGAAGAGAAGTCACCATCAGTAGAAGAGGAAGAGGACCCATTGGAAAGCGAAG